TATATATATATATATATATATATATATATATATTATATATATATATATATATATATATATATATATATATATATATATATATATATATATATATATATATATATATATATGTGTGTGTGTGTGTGTGTGTATAGTCGGGCTTTATTCGGGTCGAGCCATGGTAAGCTCAGACTCGGCTCATATTTTAATCGGGTTTAATAAAACGGCTCAAACTCGGCCCGACTCACAATTAATGGGGCTCGAATCAAATAAAATCGGACCGAGCTATTGGGCTTCGGGTAGGCCCGGCTCAATTGCCGGTCCTAGTGAGACGATTATTTGTTGTGCTATTGGTTGCGAATAATATGAGCTGACCAAAATATGTGTGGGAGTGTAGTTGTAAGGAATTCGCGGAGGACATTGCGTACATACTACAACAACGTCGCACCAATTCAGTTATGACACTACGTCTTACATTGTTCCACAATTTAGTACAAATGTTTGATTTAAAAGTATATACTTTTAAATCGTCACATTTTGTTATTTTTTCATATTATACTATATTGAAAGTCCACATATCTTCGGCGATACTCTGAGAAACTACTATTTGATCCAAATGGAAAACATATTACAAAGCAATAATAAAAGCTTGAGTAACTTTCCCCCCAATGCCGATCCGGATTAAGTTGATGATGGACGTGACGGTAAACATTCTCGACGAGTTGGACTATGACGTTGATGCGACGCGTGAAGAACTTAATAAATACCTTTCATCCATTACCGATGAGCATAAAAAAGTGTTCGATAATATCATGGATGTTTTTACAAATATCAGAGGTTGACTGTTATTTCTTATAGGCATGGAGGAACGGGAAAGACTTTCATATGGAAAACCTTATCAGCTGCTATTTGTTCCAAAAGGCGAAATAGTTATAAATGTTGCTTCTGGTGTCATTGCTTCGCTTCTACTTCTTGTGGCAGAACTGCGCATTCGAGATTTGGACTGCCAATAATTTTACATGAAAGCTTCACATGTAGCATCAAACAACAAAGTTTATAGGCATAATTGTTGTCTAAAGCAAAGCTAATCATATGGGACGAGGTACCGATGATGCACATGACAAGACAATGAAATCAATATTTGATTCAAATATGCCATTCGAAGGCAAGACTGTAGTTCTTAGAGGGGCCTTTCGGCAAATTCTGACAGTTGTATTGAAAGCATCGAGATAAGACATTATTCATGCTACAATTATTTCAGCACTACTATGGAGACAATGTAAGATTATGAAGTTGAACAAGAACATGAAACTTTAGTCGTCATCCTCTTCAACCAATGCGGATGAAATAAGAGAACTTGCGGAGTAGATATTGAGAATCAGCGATGGCGATGCTGGCGATGTTAATGATGGTGATGCTACAATTGGAATTCCCGATGACTTGCTGATTCGTAATTCTGCAGATTCCTTTTTGGATCTTATCCAGTTTGTTTATCCCGATCTGGTGAGTAACCTGTTCACTCCTGAGTATTTTAAGGGCAGGGAAATTCTTGTACCGACTAATGAAAGGGTCGGTTTTATGAATGATCCTTTTTTGTCCATCATATCTAGAGAGGAGATGGTCTATTTCAGCTCCGATAGTATGTACAAGGAGAAGTTATTATCAGATGTCAACGCATAAATATATTTCACCGAGTTTCTCACCACCACATCATGCTCCAGAATTCCACCTCATAAGTTGACATGAAAAGAGGTGTTCCCGTTATGCTCATAAAAAATATTAACCGGGCCAGAGAAATGTGCAATGGAACCAGGCTTCAGGTTATTAATATGGAAAAACACTTTTTCAACTACAGGATCCTTCCCGGTAAACATGTTGGCGATATGGTGTTCATTTCTCGAATGACTTTGGTATTGTCTAACTCTGCATTGCCTATTAAATGCCAGCGACGTAAGTTTCCGTTGATGGTCTCATTCGCAATGACAATCAATAAAAGTCAAGGACAAACTCTTTCTCAGGTAGGACTGTACATGTCCAGACCTGTTTTCAGTCACGGACAGCTCTATGTCGCACTCTCGAGAGTTAAGAGTCGAAGTGGCATAAAGATTTTGACCAACTCGGAATCTGGCGAAACAACCAACATGACAAATAATATTGTATACAAGGAAGTTTTTCAGCGTATATGAAGGTAATATTGTATAAAATTTTATACAATATTAAATAACGACCTTATATGTTTAGTTATTCATGATTTGTATGTTTATCTAAACTGTTCTACTAACTTGCTATGAATGCAATTTTTTTTAGATTTATTTTATATCACTAAACATTTATATTTGTATTGTTTTGGTAACATTTTAGCTATTTCGTATGATCATTATACAAAATATGCAGGTCAATTGCACTGTATTGGATTCGTTACATGCGTTTAGGGCGGTTGGTATCAAACACAATATCACTGACTGTTTGGTTCAAATTCAAGTTTTGAACGTTCATATGTCATTATGGTTGTATAAATTTGGGACCAACGATATATTCACTCTTTGCATGCGGAAATTAAAACCTTCAATGTCTAGTTTTTTAACTTATATCAGCACTTGAACCTTACAAATTAGTTTTCTATTTTAATATTTTCTATTTCATTATATTACATACCAACAATTGATTTTACTAGTTCAAGAACCATTTTATTATTAAGTATTTGCTTTTATGATGAATAACCCGTGCATTCGGGTGTCTTACTAGAGCTAATAATAAGTTACATTCCACATAAATTAGAACTTTTAGTACAGTTAGTTTCATGCTAATGTCATAGCAATTAATTACCACTAATCATGATTACACACTAATCACATCAAAAACAGTCATTCCCTTGACCTTTTCTGTCAGTCACTACACACTTTAAACATTATCCCTCAAAACAATCTATCCAACTACAATTAGTAATCAGTAAAACCAAACCCAACCCCAAACGTTCCCACTAATACCTCTGCCAATAACCACCACCACCACCACCACTAACCTCCCCTCTAATCGGCATACCGAGCCTATCCAACCGGCCCGAACCAGGATAACCCTTGGTAGTGAAATTAGCGTGAACCGAGTACCTCTTCGTAGAGCTAGTCGACCTCTCTATCTGAACGGGCCTTTGCTTCGGTGCACTAATCGACCTTGCCTTAGCCTTGGAAGATTCCGTGTAAGCCATGTAATTCGGATGGTCCGAGTAGCCGCTCAGGCAGCTTCTAGAAGCTTCGCTCTTCGTGGGGGTGAAGGCCCCCCTCTTGGAGCTCCCGCCCCTCGAAGAAGATGCGGAATAGTACGTGGGACTATTGTTATTGTTGTTATTGTCTTCGATTTCTTGTTGGAATTTTAAAGTGCTTAGAGATTGAACTTCACCGGACGAAGGGCTTAGAATCGAGTCTTTTGACGTGGAGAAGCTTCGACAGTGTTGGGTGGGGCCCGGAGTGAGCTGGGCCGAGTAGAAGAGGCTCCTTCGTTTGGTGGTGGCGGCGTGGGGAATATTCTCGGTATCCATTTCGAGAATCTTGTCGGTTCTGTTCGAACCGTTTCTCTACATTTTTTTAGCATGAAATGTGTGAGTTTGTGATGATTAAAGGATACGAGAAAGAGGGTTTGTTTAATAATGCATCCGTGTTTACTCTAATTGTTAAAAAAGTCGCCGTGTTATTAATGTTAGCATAAAAGACCCACTATAATGTAGTTTGTTGTAGCAAACTACCCCCTTAAAACTTCACATCTAGGGGTTGTGTGGTTAAAAAAAATGCATTATGGGGTTCCTTTTTCTAATATTAACAACACGAGAATGTTTTTTAACAACTCGATATAATACCGGGTGCTGACTGCAATAAACTCTATGAAAAAGTTTCAAGAAGAAACAAACCTTGAGCATCGTAATTAAGTGTTGTTCGTGCTTCATGCTCCTAGCCCGAATTACATGCTCGAATTTCTCGGGAGTTGGCGGGCCCTACAAATTCATTACTTATCAAATTATATTCTTTAAAAAAACCAAAAAAGAAATTAAATAAAAATTTAAAGTATATAAGTTATGAATTTTAAATATAAGCCATAAGGTCTAAGAAATGTGTAAGTCAAGAAGAAATGGTCCCCTTGTACTTTACTCAACACCAACCTTTGTGTTTCATTTATGCCATTGAAAATTCAAAACCAATTTAAAACAATTAGGAGGGAAATACGAATACATATACATACATTACAATTGAAGTGGGACGATTTGATGCTCGAATGAGGGGAATCGGAGCTGAGGCACCGCCCGGCCCGGGCCCGCACTTGAGCTCGAACGAGGGCCTGCAAACGTCGAAGAGTGTACGCAGTTTGCTTCCTCACGAGATGACCTCTCACAAGCGCTTGAAGCTTAACCAATGCTTTTAGTGCCCTCAAAGCTCTTCTTGACTATAACAATATTTTTCCATCACAACAAATTAAATTAAATTAAATTAAATATTTTATTGGAAATAATTTGAAACATTTCTTGGCGCCACTTCCAAAGTTGAGAATTCACTTTTTAAATTTCTTCTGAGGTAAAAAAAAAATAAAAGAAAATAAAAAGTCTGGCATTATAGAAGACAGTGACGTGTCATCAGACTAGTAGTACAATAAAGTGAAGAAAAAGTGATTTTCAATAAGCTTTTTATATTATAATGTATCTAATGTCATAACTCATAAGCATAAAGCAAACCTAACTCACCCAACTTTAATTATCAAAAAAACTCACCCAACTTTGTATATAAATCCAGAAATTTTTGAAGATATTTTTTCTTGGATTGAAGGTTAGACCAATGGGAGGTTTTTTCTATAGATAAATAGATAATTTATTGGTAAATAGCACTTAGCCCCCCTTTAGTTTGAACTTTATGCACATGACCCCCTTTACTTTAAAAAATTTCATCTTTCGAATGAGCTTGACTTTTTACCAAGCGGAATACGATAAGGGGGTTCGTGCCTATACTAAAAATACAAGAGGGTCACGTGGACAAAGTTCAAACTACGGGGGATTATGTGCTTATATTGAAACTACAAGGGGTTCAGGTGTAAAAAGTTCAAACCACATAGGGGTTAAGTGTTATTTACCCTAATTTGTTTATATATTATTTAATGAGCATGTAACTTTCCACTAACCAGTCCCCACATCCAAAATAAATAAATAAATAAATAAAAATCAAAATCTATAGAAATTGAAGAAGTCAAGAAACTAATGGATTAAATAAATGTCAAAGGATTAATCAAGATAGTGTGAACATTTGACTTCATTAGTAGTAGTACTATACAACAAGATATTTTAAGTTGGAATATTATATATATATATATATATATATATATATATATATATATATTAAATTAATTAAATAATTATATATTTATATATTTATATGATGCTATAAATGAAAATTTGCACCAACCCAAAGAACTACCATGTATGCAAATATGGGCCAACCCCAATTTAATAAACCCACAGTAGTTCAATAAATTCAACAAAGTACTATTTGGAGATTGTTCCAATTTTCTGCAGGTGCTTCAAAAATCATAACTAATATTTGCATGAACAAAATCAATTAAATTAAAATTAAATTAAATAAATTACCAATTTTTAAGAGCAAAAAAAACACACACACACACAGAGTGAGAATTTTAGAAAACAAAAAATTGATTAAGTATGTTAGTTATGGTAAGCATCATAGTTTAGTTATGGAAGAATAGTGAAACGGCGTCGTTTTTCTGCCCATACTCATATGCAGATATAGATACACGCGTATGTGTATGTATTTAGTGGAGGGGAGGTTACCAGATATCCACGGAAATGGGACTGAATCGTAACGGCCGCCCACTCCTGCCGGTGTACGGCGCTCCGAGAGGTCCGCGCAGCGGCGGTGGAGATACCCCGGCTGCTGCTTGTAAGCTGGACTACGGACGCGGCCGCCTGGGCGGCGGCGACGGCAGCGTCGGCGACTGCTGCGGTGGCGGCGGCGACCGCGATGGCGTGCTTGCTGGCGTCGTCGTTGTCGTTCGGGTGGCCGCGGTGCTGGGAATTCCGGGGATCGGTTTCGCGGTGGGGCTTGGCGAAGCTCCATTTCCGCTTGGGCGGGGGTTTCGGGGTGGGGGCGGCGTTGGTGGTGGTGGTGCTGAGTCCGAGGAGACCTCTGAACCATTTGGAGGCTTTGCCCATTTGAGTTTTGAGTGATCGATCTCCAGTAATGAAAATGGCGAGAGGAAGACGAAGAGGAGAGAGAGAGAGAGAGAGAGAGAGAGAGAGAGTTAGAGAGAGAAAGAGAGAGAGGCGAAATTGGTGGGGGGAGTTTAATAAGGTGGAATGTAACTCATGGGATCCATTAATGGCGATTTTTATTTTACAATTGAGGAAATAAAGAATAGTTAGCACCATTTTTTTATTATTATTTTATTTTTTTTAAATAAATTATGATGAAATTTTGCTACAGAGTTTTACTGTCAAAATGTAGTGTGAGAAATTCCAAAAAGTAGAAAGTACATATTGTGTATTTATTTATTTATTTATTTATGCTAATAGGATTGATTGTAAATAAATAGGGGGCTTCACTCGGATAGTAAAACGATTAAATCGAATCAAAAATTCAGTACGTGCTAAATATCGAATCGAATATTTTGTTTGATATAAGGTAAAATTGTTTTAGAATATCGGTATTCGGTACGGTATGCAGTATTGATTCTTTATATAGTACTGTACCGAATACTATAAATATTTATTTTTCTTTTTATTTTAAATTATAAGTTACTTTAAGATTAATATTTTCTTTTTCATTATTTATAAATTAGCATTTATTCGTAATAAGTTTATGTTTTTATGGCCGGTCATTAAGATTTAAATCAAAGTCAATGAATTAATTAGTTTAAAAGTATATTCTACATTTTTAAAATATTAAAGTATACTTTCAGTTTTACCGTTATCGAAACGAACTAAATAGTTCGACTCAGTAATGATGCAAATTTTCGAAGTACCAAAATTTCGATACGATATTACGGAACGAACACCCCTATGGAAATTATGGGTTACTTATGGTCCCATAAATAAATGTTAAATAGTATAAAAAATAATAAATAAATAAATGTAGTGAAATAAACAGATCCAATAAAGGGGAAAAAATAAAAAATAAAAATAAATGTTTATTGCAGGACAGGTTCAAGGTATGCCAGGTCAGAGGGTACCCCTTATTATACACTACAGTAATAGCCTTGTCACATCCAAATCAGGCATTGGGAAATTAACATCACCATTTCTTTGTCTAAAATAAATTATTTTATTAATTAATTCATTCATTAATAAATAATGTCACCTTCTTATATATATAAAAAAACAATTATAAGATAATGTCACCTTCACCTAATTCTTGTTTATTTAATATTTTAGTTTGAAACTTTATGACTAAATGCGTATCAAACTTTTTTTTCATCAATAATATTAGTGTTAGATTAAGTATCGAACGAGTACATTTTTTTTTTTTAATTTTAGCTTTTATCTCCATTTTAAGAAGCATTAAAGTAGCTACAACATTTTAATATAAAATTAATTTTGGTTACTACTTATTAACTATTTACATATATACATTTATTTTCTACAATTTTTAGCGTCACACGCATCTGAAGAAAACTCTAATTTTATTTTTTTTATTCGATATTGAGTATAACAAATTTGTTTGATTCCTAGATTAGTATGTTGACTTAATTCATCATCACTCTCAGCTGTATCGTCCTCATAAATCAATAAATCCATATTCTTGATAATTAATAATATGATATTTTCCAAAATAATGTCAATGAAGACATATAAATAAAAAGTTTGAAAAAATAAGATAAGATATATAGGTTTTAAAATTTTAAATAAACATGTCTACGTTTACTAAAACTCTTGATGTGATGTCGTTGAAAACTAACAAAAAACGAATTTACAAAATAAATTAAAATATGTATTAACTTTTGAATTTAAAAAATAAAATACTATCTTACATTTACTAAAACTCATTTTGCATTTATACTATCCTTAATTAAATGTCACATTATTAGTGACAAGAGATATAGATAATACCGAATCCGCTCCCTTCATTTCCTTTTAAGTGACGTTTTAACGGAAAAATATATATATATTTTGTATTTTCTGTCGCTAATAAAATATAATTTGCGTTACTTTAAAAAAGATTATTTATTATATTACTAAGTGTAGAAACGTCATTAGCAAAAGCTGCCAAAAAATAATATGGAGAAGTTGCCGACATACAAATTATAGATTTTCTCTACTAATTTTAAATTAACATGACAAGAGACATATACCCCCCTC